TGGTTTAAGGAACACCGTACCATGGTTTATTGGCTTTTTCCTCAAAATGCATAAAAACTAAAATAATAATCTTCCTGTCCTCATTGTGTAAATTTCGTCAAATGCGCATGAAGTGACGCTCACTATAATGTTCGCCTCTTCAGTACAGCAGTAATGACTAATGGTTATTCAGCGCAGCGTAAATAACTCGGTCATTGCTTTCGTATATTATGGGAACGAGTCAACTGACATCAGGCACTGAGCATCGCAAAACACACTGATCGCATGCATTCACAGAAATGGAATACAAATGCTAACGTTTCGCTGTGACATCGCGCTGGCCTGCTTTAAAAAACAAATCAAAAATTAGTGAAAGTCGTAGGTTTTAGCGTATTAACGACTACACCGATAAAATCCCTGTCCATACTTGTCAATGAAAACAGATTTCAAAGCCCAAAGATCAAATGAAACATGAGAATTAACAACGACTACACCGACAGAGCATCTCATCATCAACTAAGTGACGAACTAGTCATAATCCACAACTTTCCCGTAGTATTAAGAACAGTTCAAGACAGTCTCTACGAGTTGATGAGTTTCTATAAGTTGAATTAATTCTACATTTGATTGAAATGATTACTCGGGCGGCTTTCGAGAATACGGCACATATACATTAAACAGGCGGTGGGTACGAAATGACGGTATGTAGTCGAGGATCAATTGGCCTGATATATCTGCATATGGTAGCACCTCAGTAGAACCACTAACATGGAATATTCGCACTGATGCACAGACAGTGTTGGTATTCTAGGTGTGAAACCCAAATTACGATTACAGAGATGACAGAGCGCAACGAGTTCGAATTCTGCTCCTTCTCTTGGAGGACCGTCAGCCCACTGTGACCTACTAAACCTGACTAAGGTTATAGCACCTTCTTCATTCGTTTGTATTAAGCGGTGACCAGGATTTTCGTTACTGCCTCCATACGACTCTGCTCCTTTTTCGTCTCGATAGTAAGACACCTCATGAACACCGCGTAAAAGTGTCATGAGGGGAGTAGTATAATGTGACATTTGCTTCGCCGGTCATCCACTGTCATCATGGTGAAGTAGTATAACACTCCAGTGCTAATCTGGTCACCAACTTGCTCAAATCTTACACCAAGTGGTAAGTGAGCATTAGAGAATCTCTACCACGCTCATAAAGGCACGATGGTTAAGTTGAGTGGATATTTCAATCTTAAAAACTCGTCAAGAAAGCACTGTATATTACCTTACCTAAGAAGAGTGCCATCTGTAGCAGAACTGCTTTTATTACCCTTACGAGCAGTCCATCAAATAACTGGCCAAAGCACGGGCTGCCCGTGCGAAGATGCCTTTTTTGCAGAGTTTCCTGCAGTTTTTGTCGCTACCGGCATCGGTTTTTTCGGCAGATGCTTCTAG